CATGTGGACTTCGGACCGATTTAGAGTTCCATACCTGATTTCCAGAGCAGCTTCCAGTGCTCTATAGTTGTGCCTTTCGTCTGCTGACAACTATCCAAGTATTTCCAGTGGTTGTCCCTTCAAGCTCGTTGCCAGGTACACTGCTTTCTGCTCCTCTGTCCATCCATTCATATCTGCCAGTAGCTCAAATTGTGCTCTATATGCTTCCCATGGTGCCTTCCCATCGAATTCCTGTGGCTTTCTTCGTACTGTATCACCCCTATTGCTGACACTCATGTCTGGAATGTGACTTCTAACAGGACTGAAGGTGTCTGCATTAGGGTTTAGCTGGAGGGTCTGGAAGGAGCTTCCTGTTGTCAGGGACTGATTAGGTCCATGGCTAATATATCCTCCCTGTGTAAAATACAGTAAATCGTCCTTTAATGTATTTAATTCACTTTGAAATTTACTAATCTTTTCCATTTGTGTATGCTGGCTTTCTCTCAACTGTTCGAGACTTTCTTCTTGTATATTTTCTTTCTCCTCCAACCACTACTGTAGTCTCTCTTCTTGTTCATTTTCTTTCTCCTGCAACCACTGCTGTAGTCTCTCTTCTTGTTTATTTTCTTTCTCCTCCAACCATTGCTGTAGTCTCTCTTCTTGTTTCTTTTCTCGTTCTTCTTGTTTCTTTTCTTTTTCCTCCAACAACTGCTGTAATCTCTCTTGTTTATTTTGCTGTTCGAGCTGCCATTGTTGTAAGTTTTCTTGTCTCTCTTCTTGTTTCTTTTCTCGTTGTTCTTCTTTCCTTTGCTGTTCTTGTACTGCTTCCATCAAATCTACTAAGCTGTAGTTTGATTTACCACTTCTCGTTTCCATCTTCTTTTTATTTTATTTTTCCGTCCCACTCTCTGACACCAACTTGTTACCTATCTACTTGTTTATTAATTTCTGGTAGAAATTCTTTCTGAGAAACTTCACCGATACAATTCCTTTCTTTGTTAAATCAGTTTATTCTTCCTCGATACAAACTTTTAGTACACAGTAATTTCACAATCAATACGTTTCTCGTCACTTTAAACTTAACTACTTTTATAATAAACGCTATAATCACAGCGATTTACAATCTCAAAAACACACACTAGCTCGAACAGAATAGTAAAATACTCCGAACTTTCTTCATTCAATCTCGCAGGCTTTCACTGCCAGGCTTATATACTAAAAAAGAGGGCGTCCTGAATGCACTTGGGCCTCAACGATCATTCATGATCATTCTAGAAATTTCAGGTACACTGCCAGCGCCAAACGCGCCAGTAGCGTCACGTAACTTCCGCTGTCGTAACAATATTAGTTGTCGTGGTTTCGATGTAAAATGAAAGCTTTAATTTTACAATGTATTATTTGAAATTTAAAAATTCCTTTATTTCATTTGTTTGTTTTGAATTTCGCGCAAAACTACACAAGGGCTATCTGCGCTAGCCGTCCCTAATTTAGCAATGTAAGACTGGAGGGAAGGCAGCTAGTCATCACCACCAAGTGCCAACTCTTGGGCTACTCTTTTACCAACGAATAGTTGGATTGCCCGTATCTTTATAATGCCCCCACGGCTGAAAGGGCGAACATGTTTGGTGAGACGGGGATTCGATCCCGCGACCGTTTATTTTATTTACTTATTTCTCTATATATTACCTATAATTGGGTTTTCCTTATGTTTATTATATCGAAATAATCGATTTATATTTTATATTCATCATAATTCTATATAATAATGGTTGGAGACGACTTGAATGGGTAATGAAGAAAACCTTTAATATAAGTTTAACACAACAGCAAATGTACAACGTTTCGACAAGGTTTTGTCATTATCAGGTCATACATTTACTGTTGTGTTAAACTTATGTTAAAGTTTTTCTTCATTACCCATTCAAGCCGTCTCCAACCATTATTAGTCTCAAAGTGGGTTCCTCGTAATCGAATTCATAATTCTATATGTTTAATAACTTTGATACCAGGTGTCAGTTATTGTTACGACTGTTGCCTAGATACAAGCTTTAAAGCGGTGTTCCAAAGTTTAACAAATGTTTTGATCGGGACGTTGTTGCTCGAAGAAGGCTATGGTAAGGGGGCCGAAAGCTCGCAATAAAAGTATTTTAACGTAGGGAAAAGTTCATTTATAGTTCTTCTACATATTAATTTACCTACGTTATGAGTCTTAAACAACAATTATGTATGTTAATTTTAATTTTTATAGCCTTGTGATTATCATTGTAAATTAATGTAAGTTGTAACTTAAGACAAGTTATGCTCCTTTAGTGCTTTATTGGCTTTAGTTTAGGCTTTAGATCTGTAGATTGTAGTAGAACAGTAAAAGGCTGGTATAGACCTAAGCATGTCATAACTACCAGAGGTTTAACTTCATGTTTAATTAAAAGGTTTATTCATGCTCATATTTGAGTTTGAGGTTAGGTAGCACAGAATGGTTAATGGACGGAGAAGAATAGAAATAGAATGAGTAAAAACGGTTATCCGCAGTTACTTCCACGGTTTCTCTATAACTATAAAAGTATAAGTATAATTCACCTTTGTTAAATTTTGTAGGTCTAAGCCTTATACAGCCAGTACAGGTGTAGTAGACGTGCAGCGTATGTCTGAAACTTATGAAATCTAAAACTTTTCATATTTTCCGAACAAGAGTTGTGCTACTAATAAAACGTTGTTGACTGAGCCGATGAGTTGTTTGGTTCTATTACTATTAGTATTACTGTACAATTATGAGTTTCAACTTTCAGTATTTTGTGTTTTTCGTAAAGAATGCATTGTTTAAACCTTAAATTATGATGTTAGGCCTAATGTAGGCTTAGACAACTCATCCGGCCCATTTGACTTTAAACTAAGCTTAAAAGCTAAAGAACTGCATTGTGGTTTGGTTTGAATTTTGCAAGGGCTATCAGTGCCAACCATCCCTAATTTAGCAGTGATAGACTAGAGGGAAAGAAGCTAGTTAACATCATCAACTGCCAACTCTTGGGCTACTCTTACTAAGGAATAATGGGTTTGACCATCACATTATAGTTCTCGAGAACTATGGTTGAAAGGGTGAGCATGTTTGGTGTGATGGAGATTCAAACCCATGACCCTGAGATTGCAAGTCAAACTCCTTAACCACCAGTCCTTAACTGCATTGTGAAATATTTATTATTATTATTATAAGTAGATATTTTGCAAAATAGGTTTACTTCTTCTAACATTGGTGAATATGGAAGCTTCAGATTATTATTAGCCCATTCTATTGAACAATAATTACAATTTACAGCAAAAATTGTACTTATATTGGTTTGTATAACTATTAGTAATTCTTTTTAAAACTTGCAAGCATATTTATTGTATTTCATTATTACTACAATTATAAGTCCTTTTGGCTTAGCTTGTATTACAGTTTTCTTCAACAAATGAGTGTATGTAAAACAATTAAATAGTACTCTAAAAGCTGTATACAGTATGCACATATGTGTATGGATGTATTCAATATATACTAAGTGATAAATTATAGATAAGTTTTGTTTGTTGTAAAGCACAAAGCACCATAATAAGCTATCTATGCTATGCCCAGCTTGAGTATCAAAACATGTTTTTTAGAGGTGTGAGCTAGCAGATTTACCACTGAACCACTAGGGAGGTTATATATAAGTAATGTGTAAATCAATCTTAACAAGGCTCTGTCTTGCATTTTTTGCCTACAATTTACTATTATTCAAAAATAAGACTTTCATATTTTTCTATGTCAATTTATCATTTTCATCATCTAAATCCTGTGATGCTATCATTCTTGGTGTACCAATAACATGTTATTTCAAACCTAATTTTCTCATATAACTTGAGGTTAAAAAATTACATTGTATTACAGTGATGTGGTTGACATTTTCTTACATATTTTACCAATAAAAACTAATGATCTTAAAGGTCAAAAATAAAACTTTTTTTTTTTAACATGTAATATGATAACAGTACCAAAACATATATATACATATCTTGCACCATAGATTTTTATTAATTAAAAAATCAGTGATTAATTTTGATGACACATGGATCTAAAATTTTGAACTTCGTGCTTGGCAGTAGTCAGTGAAGGTTGGCTTGTGATGTCGATCATGCTCAACGGTTTTTGCTACACCCCTGTTATTCTTAAATGGTTTGCTACTTCTGCTTGCAAATGTCTTATTTTTGTGGAGTACAGTGTAAAAACTGTGAAGGAACAAGGTTTTTCAAAGACAAGAAACTGAGAAAGCTGTGGATGGAAAGTGTGGGACACAAGGAGTTGGAGTCCAGTGAAACAGCTTTTCCATGTTTAGTCTATTTTCAGTGCACAAATTATGAGGTAGATCCTGAATTCTTAAAGATTTTAAGCCTCACACATAATAGGACATTAAAGAAAAATCTTGTACCATCTTTCTTCAGTTATACAGGGAAAAGAAGTGTTGTTGACAAGCAAGAAAGGATGCAGGTAAATAACTTGGCAACATTTGGATGTGTTGTATGAATAGGCCTATATTTTATAATAAATCTGAGATACATTTAGCATATAGTCTTGTAGAGTTCCTGTCCATGTGGTACATGATCCCAGTAACGTAATAGATAAATCTGATGATATATTTTCTTTTTTTTACTCATTAACTCACACTTACTTACAATTATTGTTTTTTAAGTTTCTGATCGAAATACTATTCCAGTATGTTACTGGTGTTCATGTTTATAGTTAACACCGTTGAATGCTGTGTACTGTATTTTTCGCTGTATAAGACACACTTTTTTTACCCCAAAATTTGATGTCAAAATCTGCTTGCATTCTATACACCAAAGGTATGAATAATATATATGTATATATATACGATAC